AGTTGGTGCTCCGCTTGCTTCACTGCTTCCACCACTAAAAGAACAACCCTTTTGCTGAATTTTGGCAAGAGGGAGGCATTCCGGCATAAGGCATTGCCATGTGTCTTTCTCTCCCCTGGGGCAAAGAAGATGAGCCCCAAGGCTTTGCGGAATGCCACCCTATCACCAAGTTTTGGCGAGAGTCGGGTGTTTCAGCTGTGGTGGAAGTGGCGGGGCATATATATATGTGTGTGTGTGTGTGTGTGTGTGTAAATAAACCACATATCATAAAGTCTGGAACTGTTGGAATCTCGCAACTGCTCAGAGATTGGGGTGACATGCAACAATATAATATTCATAGCAATACCTCAAAACTTTTAACTTTTAAAGGGATATGTGTATATTTTAATGTGATTCTAGTATTATAACTGAACAAAATTGTATGCTCTGTGTTGAACTGAACAACAACGTATTTGCACCAAGGTTATTTATAAATTCATTCTTCTCTGACCTGGAAATGTACCCACCCCATTCTGCAAAGACCTTGATTTAAAACCTAACCAGGAAATATTTATTTTCTAAATAAGAGAAATATATTTTAAAATGCTTTCTTGTAAAGCTGGCCTTGTAGAGCATTTTGAAAGCTTCAGAATGGATATTACCACTTGTTGCTTAGAGATACACTTATTGCTTGAAATTTACTTGAACGTGTTTTTTTTATCTTCAGTAATAGTGGCCTTGTGCTCACTACGATTGCAAACATCTGTCTAGTTTTTTTGTATTTCAGATTGCATGTAGTGGCTCACATGAGATAGGGTGCTCACTGAAGGTGAGGCCTCAAAATATTATTCCCTCCCAAAATTCCATTACACTTTGAAAATGAGTGCTTCAAGGAGAAGGCTAGGGTAGGTCTCTTCTCTCTGACATATAGTTTCTAGATGCATGACTTTTTTGTATGGAGGAGTATTGCAGGCAGATGCCATCTGTAACTGATGATTTGTCAGTTTTTAATTTGACAGTAAGGCCTGGAACTTAATCTCGTTTTACCATTATTTACCTCGGACTATCTTTCCGAAAAAGTTAGTTCAGGCTCAGGGATCTGTCCTATGTCTTCTGCCATGAAGACAGATGAAAGAATTCATTCATCTTATCTGCAATATCCCTTCCTTTCTTCAGTACACCCTTGACTACCTTGTTGTCCAGAGGTTCAACTGCTTCCCTAGCCAGTCTCCTACTGCTAATGCATTTCTGTTTTATGAGTGACTATGAATCTGTCTTGAGCAGTAAGAATATGATTGCCTTGGCATTCAGCAAATGAATGATTCTTCCGTATAAGATGGTGGGGTTAGTTATAGACTAGGAGTAACTTCACCCAGATGGTACAAAGACTCTTTAAAACAATTTATTCCTTTGCCCAGTAAAGGAATTTGCCACAAATAATATTTATATTATACCAGCTTCCATCAGAAAAGCCAATGTAATGTTCTATTTAATAGTACACCTTTAAGGCTAGGAGGCGCTCAAATATCTCCCTTAAGAAATAGAGTTCCAGGACTCTTTTATATTAAAGTTGCTACATTTTGGTATGACTCCCATGAGAGAAAAAAAAGATCATTTACACATCAATTCCCAGGCTGAGTTTATTGAATCCATGCAGAGTGACTAAATATAGTGTTCAAGAGAGCAGTGACTGAGCTATAGCTTAAACCTTCTCACTATAGCTGTGAGATGATTTAAAGTCCAATTTTTCAATCTTGACACTTAATCCATGGGTGTAAATTACTCCAGGGACCAATCAGTGCTCCATTATTTAATATAGAAGCTAAATATGAAGCTGGATTGCTTGCATCCTACAAGCTCTTGTACATTGCTCTTATCAAGTCATACATCACCTGGGGAATTTTGAAAGCACGCAAAGAGAACGAGCTTGACAATTCGAGCTATTTAAGAAGAGATGTAAGTCCTTTTTTTTACTATATAATTGATGGTACAAATGTTGAATTGCGCTGAACACTGTAAATAAAATAACAAATTTAAGCAACTTTAATGGAATAAAAAGATAGAAGGTGCAATTAAGTGAATGAAGCTCTGTTGATGTCCATGGTGTACAGTGGTACCTTAGGTTAAGTACTTAATTTGTTCTGGAGGTCTGTTCTTAACCTGAAACTGTTCTTAACCTGAAGCACCACTTTAGCTAATGGGGCCTCCCGCTGCTGCCGCGCTGCTGGAGCACGATTTCTGTTCTCATCCTGAAGCAAAGTTCTTAACCCGAGGTACTATTTCTGGGTTAGCGGAGTCTGTAACCTGAAGCATATGTAACCTGAAGCATATGTAACCCGAGGTACCACAGTACACATATTTGCCTTTAGCTAGTCAATTCTATCAGCATGTTGAAAGTGGACTTGTTTTGTCTGGGACTTATTACATCTTGGGATTAAGAACAGTATTTCATTATTCTGAATCTCCTTAGTCCAAATTCATGAAGTCAGTATAGCAGCAACAGACCTGTGTGGGCTTTGTAGGCTTCGGAGTCAACTTCAGAGTGCAGATGGTAGCCCAACTGGGAGGCTCCTGCCTGTCCCATGAGATTCCCCACATTGTCAGTTGAGTGTAACAGAACAAAACCAAAGGGTTGAGGAAATCAGTCATGTATCCTAAAATCTATGAATGGGAATCCCACATATAATGAACAAATAACTGAAGATGTGGCTCCAAAGACTAGAGAAGAGATTGTGAGCAAAAAATGTAATTCCTTTAAATTTGAAACAAGGTGGTTGGCTTTCTTTTTTAAAAATAATATTTCCCCCCCCACCTTGTACTAAGGTTACTCTTCTATAGGCAAAATGATCTAATCCACTGAATACTGATGCATGGCAAAGTATAAAGATCAGAACATTCAGATGCAAATGAAAGAGAAGAATGGAGAGTCTGTGAATAGGATTATTGTACAGAACCACTTCCTTGAGGTTTTACTGAAGCCTACAGACAATCACAATTCATACAGTAATAAAACAAGCTCCAGTAGGGAGCCACATCGTTCCACTAACATTGTTCAGAATCTATTGTGCTTGTCCCAAGGCACTGGACAAGAAAGGGGGAAGAACTAGGTTATCATTTTCCCCAGCAACAAGGCCTAGGAAATTCCCCCACCCCAACTGCTTCTGAAAATACTGCTTGATAGTTAGTACTGTTTTAATGACAAGACTGTCTTTAAAATAATGAATAAGAATACTCTGAAAAATAAAAAATAGTGAATAAGAACATTCTGAGAACTATAAAGAATATCCATTATGTTTTCAATCTTCAAACCTTTCTTTTTCTGTTTTTTTTAAATTTAATGTAATGCTTTTTTCCCCCAGCGGTGAAGAAAGATGACACTCAACTAGAAATATACTAATCCTAACAGACAGGCTAATCTAGCAGCTCGTCAAAAACTAACGTGTTTGTTGCTTAGCTTTCTCTGCTTTAACAAAATGCATTTTCTCAGGATTTGAAGGAGCTAGTATGAGATATCAGAACCTGAGTCCATCTAGTTGAAAGCACAGGCATTCATACAGTGATTTAGTGCAGACAGAACACTCCTGATCAGGGGACTGGGAAAATACCTCTCTCTCGATTTCTAGAGTTTGAAAGTAGACTATTCAAGTAGGTTTCTAAATCTACCCCTCCTTTTTTTAAAGTTGTCACTCCATGGTTAGGAGTGAATGATACAAAAGTATCACTGCACCATAAATCAAGGGTGGGCCCTTAGGACTTTCAGAAGGCCACAACCACCAGCTACAGCTTCTCTCCCCAGTGGCCTTGCTCCACACTTCCTCCAGTGTTTTGCCTGGCTGGAGTGTGTCCATGAACTCTGATAATGTTTTTTGCTTGCCTGAATGGAGGACAGAGAGTCTACTGTACAAAGGTAAAATTTCCTCTGGCCACACCCAACACAGCTATATGGAACTCTAAAGTTTTCCCCAAAAGGGAATTGAGCTCTCAAGCTGAAAAATGAATTTATATGAGGGAGGGAGCAGGGAGGGAGAAACAACACAGAAGCTTGAAGCATGCTGCCAATCTAGTAATTGTGGAGAGACTGGCAATATTACAGCTGCACCAGGCCACTGAGATGATACATAGACAAGGGGTGTACCACAGGCACAAGATTTGCCACTTGTCAATCAGACAGCCTCAGCCTCAGGTGTTCCATGGGTTGCCTGTCCATCACATCATTTTGTTTACCCACTCCACATTCACTATAGGAAAACTTATAAATAGCTATAACTCCCCCCCTGCCTCTTTTGACAGAAGTGCGTGAATGTGCTGGTGTATTAGTCCTTTCAGAGTAGGGTCTTCTGTGCTGGACACCCTTAAAAGGTTTGTTTGTTTATAAAAAGGCAATGCTTATAACTTTTTAAAAGGGCACAATTATATGAAATTTGCAGGCAAGGCTACGCCTTCTGTGGGAATGAATTTTGCTGAAATAAAGATTATAGGACCTCTGCTTCAACTCATGCTCACATTGTAGAGAGCACTACTTTCCTCGTAGAAGCCTCAAATCCCCCCAAAGCCTTTCACCTTGGGTCATCATTCAAGACTCTTATGGTTCTTTCACACACCCCTAGATAGGCAATCATTTTGCTGGCACAATGAGAGTAACATTCCCCTTACCACTGCTGAAACAATGTACTTATATCTGACTGCACCTGAGATTAATGCTAGGACATCCATGTGGTTAGCGATTCCTATGCCTTCAAATATTTATAGAGAGGAGAAGGCTATCTTTCATAATCTTACTATTAATAATGTGGGTTTTTTTACATGCACTTTATAAGTACACATTACACAATAAAGCTCTATTTCCATATTGTGTTTAGACTATTTCATTTTCATTTAGGATTGTTTAATAAAATGCAAATGTGCAGTGTTTGAAAAAACTGCTTCAAACTCATTAAAGTTAATATATACAGTAGAACACTCTATGTACAGTGATGAAAGTATGTCAATCTATCGGAGTGAAAAGCTACAGTTTCTCATAGTTTTGACTGGATATATTCTGCTTTTTATTTGTTGCATGGTATTTCCCAGATGCAGATGTCAGTGATTGGAAGCAGGAGGACAAAAGTCATTATCATTTATCATTCCCCAAATGCATGCATAAAATTAGCCTACATTTCAATAAGCGACTAGAGTTTTTAAAATACTCAATGCAGGACTTCAAAATATGATATTTAAGAGTGTGTACTCAGCAGGTTCCTTGTATACAACTCCCAACCTCACACTAAAGTAATTAAGTACATGCAATAAGCAAATGACAGACCAGCTTTTCTCCAGCTATTTCTTATTTGTAGTATGACAAATTCAAGTTTCCACATTTTTTCCATTACATGTTAAGTAGCTATTCATAGAAAACCAATGAGAGAAAATAAATGGCACATTTGTATGACCCTATCATGTACAGCACGGGAAGAATGTTCACCAATGTCTGATCTTTAAAGCTTCATGACTGGAAATAAAAGTCAGGATGTTTTCCAGGATCTGCTTCTGGTCAACCACACCCAGTAAAAACAATAAATAAATTGGTAACAAGCATATCAGCAGTGTGTTGGGCAGCTTGGCTTCATCTAAGAATCATTGTAGATTAGATATGTAAATTAATAATCCTCCTACCAACTCATGCCATTGATTCATCTAGCTCAGTGCTGTCAAAGCAGAAGTTCTTCAGCATTTCCGACAGCAGCCTTTTCCAGATACAGTGTGAACGCGAGTTCTTTTGCAGGTCTCCTGCTAGGTCTCCTGCTCAAAAAGAAAAAGAAAACTTTGTCCCAATGATGTCTTGGTTATTTGTGGTAAACTCAAGAGATGTTTGGACGATTGCCTTGTATCAAGTTAGACTATAAGACCATCTAGCTCAATACTGTCCACTGTGCAAGCAGATCCACACCATACATTTAAAGCACATTCAGTGCACATTTCAAGCACGATTTCCCCCAAAGAAAACTCTAGTTTACCCCTCACAGAGCTACAACTCCCAGCACCCTTAAACTGCAGTTCCATTGATTCTTTGTGGGGAAGTGTCATGCTTTAAATGTGCATTACATCTATGCTGTGGCTCTGACCTGTGTGGCAGTACAGTACAGACCTGTGTGTCTGCTTTGTGATCTTTTCAACTAGAGAGATTGAATCTGGGGTCTTTGGCAAGCAAAACATGTTCCCTGCTACTGAATGATCACCCCTCTATTCTACACCCAGTTCCTATCTCAAGTCTTCATTTTTGGCACGTGGTGGCATTGAGGCTTATGGAGCTTTTGCGTGTGGCACACACTTAACTCTCTTCCACTAAAATCAATGGGACTTAACCCATTGTTAGCAGTGCTTAACCTTGGTTGGTTGGAATGTGCCCAGCACAATTTAATTCACTTCCCTTTTTCTGTTCTGTATAATACTCATTCTGTCAAGAACACTTTCATCTATTGTTCCTCCCACTTGTGTTGCCTTTAGCGCTTTTGCTCAGAAATTTGCTCAGCAGGTTTCCTGATTTATTCATACGCTAGTCAAGTTGGAATACTTAAATTACTTATACTCAGAAGTAAATTTTGCTGAAATCAATGGACCTCACTTACAAGTAAATGTGTTTAGGATTGGAGAGTTGCCTTAATGCAGCAATTAATGTATTGGAAACAAAGGTTAATTTTCAGTGCTCCCTTTGTGTTATTGGTTTGGTGGGTTAGATTTTCAAGTAGAGGTGAAGGAAGAGGAAAGGTATAACATTTCTCAAGCTACTCTCTCTTTCCTTACACAAGATGCACTGACAGCCATTATTTATTATTTAAATAAAATATGTGTGACTTCAACTATGGAGCTGTCAAACATTCAATAAATTGCTATAACAAATTCATAGGAATAAAACTTTTAATATTTGCTATCGATTCATTTGTTCCTTGCTATGAATGTTTTAGTGAGCTGAGAGCATCATTTTTGTTAGTTTTTTTTATATAAAGGAAGAGAATAAACGTGTTCATCATTTCTGCCTTCCTGTGAAGAAATTAATAACCTACCTAACAATAATTCTGCAATGTCAGATGGGGTATTTGCTATGTACCCGTTAATAGCTCTATATAGGATATTTTAACTTCCCAATAAATAAAATTATTTTAAAAATCACCCTCTTCTCAGCAATAGAATATTTTAAGGTTTTTGAGTATGATTAAAATATTGGGTTGTTTAGTCATGGACAGAGTTCACCCTTTCATACAGCAGCTTAGCATGTGGTGAATTGAAAATAAGAGTTTTTTTATTTAAATCTGTGGGTTCTAAAAATGTGGACTTCTAAAAATGAAAGAAGTGTATGAGAAGCAGCACTGCTAGTCTCTCAGATATAGGAGCAAAACCCCTTTCAGTGAGATTTTGAGGGGGCGCTGATCTTGGTTGGAGGGGACCAATTCTGAGAGGAGAGGTAGAGATCTCCATTGTCCCAACTCCATTACCTCTTTCTCTTTGTGGGGGAGGGAAGATAGCTCCCTAGTTTCCATCCTTTTCTTCCCTTTTCTGGTCCAGTCTCATCCTTTATGAGCCCATTCTCTCTCTGATGGTTATCAGAAGACACACCAACCCACACCCTGCAATAATCATCTGAGGCCTTTCTTTGGGTGCCTCCTCCACAAGAGGTCCAGAGGGTGGCAACAAAAGAAGTGGCCTTTTCTGTGTTGGCTCCCCGCTTGTGGAATGTTCTCCCAAAGGGAGCTTGCCTGGCATTTTCATTACATATCTTTAGGCACCAGGTGAAAATGTTTCTCTTCAACCAGGCATTGGGTTGATTAACATTCTATGGCAGGCATAGGCAAACTCCGGCCCTCCAGATGTTTTGTAACTACAATTCCCATCATCCCTAGCTAACAGGACCAGTGGTCAGGGATGATGCGAATGGTAGTCTCAAAACATCTGGAGGGCCGGAGTTTGCCTATGCCTGTTCTATGGCCTTTTAAATGTTTCTGTGGGAGGGGGTTATTGATTTGTTTTGCTTTATTATGTATTCTGAATTTTCATTTTGTATTTTTATATTGTGAACCACTCTGTGATTTTCAGTTGAAGGGCAGAATAGAAATGTGATAAACAAACAGCAACAACAAGAGTAATAATTTACCCTGGGCTTTGACCATTCAGGTATTTTGTTTTGTGGAACCCATCACTTTTGTGTAATGTCCACCATTTCACCCCCCCCTCTTGCTAACAAGCAAGAGACAACCCTTCCATGTGTGCTTGCTCCATGGGTGGACATGCTCCCTGGCCTCCTGGGACAGGCCCCTGCAGAGCCAACTGTTATGGAGCCAAATTTAGTACTGACAGGACGAATCACAGTAGCTGCCTAGGAGCAGGCCAGGCCCAGTAGCCCCAGACATCACCCAATGGAAAGGATGTTTAACAACAAGAGTGAGACCAAACCCTTAGCTTCCCTACCACCATTGGGTCAACATTGTCACATGGGCAGGACCACTTACCTGCCATTCACATAATGTCATTATGACATCAGTTAACAATTTCACACTGTCTCCTCTTGGCACCAATCAGCTGATGCGTGCATGAGTAGCCCCTTTGAAAGTACGCTGTCAGTGCCAATCAGTTGTGAACACCAGTTAAAGCTCCTTAGAAAAACAGCAGAATAAAAAGTGTAATAATGAAGATTATGTAGCTGCAAGCAGAGAAAGTCTTGTTTTAATTGATTTTATGTAAGATGCTCTGAGAATTTTTATGCTCAAGTGTGAGTGCAAATCCTCTAAATAAATGAATAATAAGATGAAAGCTAATGAGATGATACCTTTACCTGTACACTAACTTTTAAAATGCTGGAAGTATGATATTTCCGCTCAGATATTGTCAGTTCAGGTTTAGATCAAATTTTTCAAAGCAAAATTTTAATATAGACTATATACATGTTCAGTTTGATGTTAACGCTTCTGAGTTTAATGAGAAAGGGTTGATCAGGGAAGGAACTATGCTGCTTGTATTACAAATATAGACTGGCTTTGTTTACAGGAATCAATCCACAACCTTCCAGAGGGATGGCGCTGGGAAACAATGAAAAACGATAAGATGTTTTAAAAGCCCTTCTTACTGGAAACAGTTCAGTTTTCCTTAGCCTCCCAGCTCTAACTTTTCCCTATATATGGTACTCCATTTTAATGTCCTGATTGTCTTGTCCACCTCTGAGTTTCAGTTTCTTTTGCATGTTAACAAGTACAACCTGTTTAATGTCATCATCTTTCTTGTGTTTTAGGAATTTTTTCTGGGTGACTGCCTACAGTGGGCTGCCAGAGTTAGTCCTTGATCAATGAAGTGTCCTCAACTCAAGCCTTCATTCCTCTATTACATTGTGTCAGCCAGAGGCTTAAACACATTGAAGCTTCTGCTGTGTTATTTTTCTTCATTCAGTGTATCATCCCCAGAGAGCACCAGGGAATAAATAGATTTTGTGCCCAGGTGTTATGTCTGTATTGTGTACGTATCAAGCTGCTGCCATGCACCCAGCCACTGGAAGATTGTAAAGGAGAAGCTTACAGGGGGCAATGCAGGGCATGCCTTCCTAACACCATTTTAACTGGCAGGAAAGTCCATTTGGAATATTCATGTCTCAGATGACAACACATATTTTTTGCCTGTTTAGATATTATATAAATTTATAAATAGTATGTTTTACTATATGCATCACTCAAGAGAATGCTTTCATGTAAATTAATTGATAAAGCATATCAACATAGCTGTCAACCTTCCTTTATTTGGCGGGAAACTCCCTTTTTCCAGTGCCGTTGCCTGGGGACTCACCTTTGCTTCAGTGCTTCCCAGCGGAGAGGTGACAGTGTGGTTTTCCTTGCTGCTGTATCCCTTTGCCGGGTTGCTGCGCTGTGGGAACCAACGCTTGAGGCTTTGTTTGACTGCTAGCTGGGCTTTCTGCCTTTGGGCCTTTGGCTCAGAGGGGCTCTACTCTCTCTCTCTCTCTCTCTGTGTGTGTGTGAGAGAGAGAGAGAGAGAGAGTGAGAGTGAGAGTGAATGTGTCACTTAAGCTGATAGTAGGAATGCTGTAGCTTCACACACTTACCTTCACACAATGTGTAATTAACTTGGGGAATTTTTTTTACTGCAGGATGTGGTGAGGCCAGTACTTTAGATTTACAAGGGGATCTGAGAGATAGAAGTTTCAGGAGAAGACAAGACTAACATTGGTTAAGAAAGTGAAATATTTTGGGGTTAACATGACGGCTAAAAATGTGAATTTATTTAAGGATAATTATGAAAAATGTTGGATTGAAGTGAAAAAGGATCTAAAATATGGACAAATTTGAAGTTATCATTGTTAGGCTGAATTGCTGTGATAAAAATGAATGTGCTGCCAAGGATGTTGTTTTTGTTTCAAACATTGCAAATTTTGGATAAGATGGACTGTTTCAAGAAGTGGCAGAAAGATATCTCTAGATTTGTCTGGCAGGGCAAGAAGCCTCGAATAAAATCTAAGATACTAACTGATGCTAAAGAAAGAGGTGGATTTGCCCTGCCAGACCTTAAACTTTATTATGAATCAGCTGCTTTTTGCTGGCTAAGAGAATGGCTGCTTCTTGAAAATACTGACGTGTTGGATCTAGAAGGTTTCAATAATGTATTCGGTTGGCATGCATACTTGTGGTACGATAAAGTAAAAGTACATAAAGCGTTAAAAAATCATATTGTTAGAAAAACATTGTTTAATGTCTGGATAAGATATAAGGATTTGTTAGAAAAGAAAACCCCAAGATGGTTGTCACCAATGGAAGCGAAGGCACAGAAAAAACTCAATATGGAGGCCAAATGGCCAAAATATTGGGAAATTCTGGAACAAGATGGAGACAGATTAAAATTGCAGAGCTTTGAAAAATTGAAAAACAGAGTACAGTACGAGATTGGCTCCATTATTACCAAATAATGGAGGCATACAATCTGGACAAAAAAGTTGGTTTCCAGGTGGAAAAATCAAAATTGGAAACAGAATTGTTAGATCCAAAAATTAAGAATTTGTCAAGAATGTATAACTTGCTGTTGAAATGGAACACTCAGGATGAAATGGTGAAATCAGCTATGATTAAATGGGCACAAGATGTTGGACATAACATAATGATGGCTGACTGGGAACAGTTATGGACCACAGGTATGAAGTTCACGGCATGCAATGCCTTAAGAGAGAATATTATGAAAATGATATATAGGTGGTACATGACACCAGTCAAGCTTGCAAAAATCTATCATTTGCCCGACAATAAATGTTGGAAATGTAAAGAAACTGAAGGTACATTCTTTCACCTTTGGTGGACGTGCCCAAAGATTAAGACATTCTGGGAGATGATCTATAATGAAATGAAAAAGGTATTTAAATATACCTTTCTGAAGAAACCAGAGGCCTTTCTCCTGGGCATGGTTGGCCAATTGGTGTCAAAGAAGGATAGAACTTTTTTTATGTATGCAACAACAGCAGCAAGAATACTCATCGCAAAGTATTGGAAGACACACGATTTACTCACTCGGGAAGAATGGCAGATGAAGTTGATGGACTATATGGAATTGGCGGAAATGACTGGCAGAATCCGAGACCAGGGAGAAGAGTTGGTGGAAGAAGACTGGAAAAAGTTTAAAGACTATTTACAGAAATATTGTAAAATTAATGAATGTTAGAAAAATGTTGGAATGAAGTTATATGGCTTTAGTAGAAATGTTATAAGGAATTAAGTATAAATAGATCAATAGAGTATTAAAGGGAAAAATAAGGTTAGAATTTGTTAAGATAATTAAAGGATAGAAAGCAGAGGAAGATGGAAAGGAATTGCTGAAACAATCAACAGAAGTGGAATACAAAAAGGGAGGTGTGAGGAGGTCACTGAAATAAGTGAATGAAAGATAAGATACTGAAATTGTTTGATGTCTTTTAAATTGTTTTTGTTTTGTTTTGTTAGTTTAAGGTGTTATGTAGTGTTTTTGTAATGTATTGTATTGTTCTTTTTTCTTTTTCTTTTTTGTTTGTGTGTGTTTAAATTGTTGGAAAAGTAATAAATATTTTTTTTTTTTAAAAAAAGAGAGATGAATGGGAGATACGGTTTGTCAGTATTAATGGACAGCTAATTAGAAACTTAACCCCAAAAGTTAGGACCAAGATTCAAATCCTAACTGGGTAACTTTGCTCACTAGTAACATAGAACCATGAGGACGAGATGGTTGGACAGTTGGCTGCTGATCCCTTATTTTGGCTGTTGATCCCTTATTTTCAAGGCTGCTGATCCCTTATTTTCAAATCTGAAAGTTGACAGCTATGCATATCAAATCTGTTCAGACAATCGCCCTATTGCAATATAGTGGTACCTCGGTTTATGAACAGTCTTGTTTATGAACTATTTGGTTTACGAACTCTGCAAAACCAGAAGTAGTGTTCCAGTTTGTGAACTTCACCTTGGTCTACAAATGGAAGCTGAAAGGTGGAAGGGCACTGGCAGTGGGAGGCCTAATTAGGGAAAGTGCGCCTCAGTTTAAGAATGGATTTGGCTTAAGAACGGACTTCAGGAACGGATTAAGTTTGTAAACCGAGGTACCACCTGTACTAGTAGAATACATGAGTAGGAACAAGTGTGCAATGTGCCTACAGAAGCAGAGAAGACCTCCTACTGCAATTAATTACCCTCCAACTAGTGGAAGGTGATAGACACAGCAAAGGGTGTGGTGGGATGGACAGACAGACACATACAGAGCTACCATGTGCATCCCTCCTCTCCCTTCTTGCATGTTTATTTAGTAAGGCCCATTTTAAACAGCCATGGCTTCCCCCAAATAATTCTGGTAAGTGTAGTTTGTTAAGGGTGCTGAGTGTTGCTAGGAGACCCCTATTCCTTCCACAGAGGTACAGTTCCCAGAGTTCCCTGGGAAGAGGGATGGACTGTCAGACCACTCTGTGAATTGTAGCTCTGTGAGGCCTGAGGTGGAGGACAAGATGGCACCCCCTCCGTTCCACGTGCGGAAGTTGACTGGACTGGCAGTTGTATATTGGCGATAGGGTGGTGTCCTCCACAACACCCGAGTCTGACAACACACAGCTGTGTCCTCCAAGGAAATGGTACAGGCAAAGGGTCAGGAGGAAGTGTTGAAGGGGCTATGCTGTTCCCCTGCAGCTGCTGCCTGAGGCAATCACTTCACTCTGCCTAATAGTTGAGCCAGCCTTCATCATTTTGGTAGTGAGTAGACAACATATATTTTAAAATCAAAGAAAAAGAAACCCACAAAACTTACAAATTGCTTCAACATCCCCCCCAAACAATGCTGAAATGCTGTCCTCCAAATTTACTGATTCTAAGTAGGAGAGCATTTTTTTTGTATGTGGGAGCGAGGCATTTTGTATGTGGGAGGGAGCTCAACTCTACAGGGCATAAGGCTTTTCACTGACAGAAATTTACAATCTGAATGGAAGGTGAACTTTTGCTTTTCCCATGATTTCATCAGCAGCTTCCTTAGGATTGTAAAATATAATTTGCTATTATGGTTCAGTCTATGGGCAAAGGCTATCTGATATTGTAATTGCACTGGCTTGTAAAATATCAAAAGTATCAAATTTAAAAATATGCCAATAGGATTGAGGACAGTAATAAGTGTTTTTGGGAACTATGAGGGCACTGTTGGGAGAGACTGCAACTACAGCTGAAGCATCAAGTAATGGATATTGATCTTGATACCTTTGTTAAAAGGGAAATTTATTGCTGTGTTATGGACTTCTTATAGTGTCTTGAGGTGCTGCAAGAAATCAACAACATGAGAATTCTGACAATAATGTTCATTTTTAGGTAACAAGCCTATATTTCTAAAAATATATATGTCTGTAATGTATATTCATAGGAAGCTTATATTGAACAGGCAGCAAAATGACTGGCATATCAATGAACAATTATCTAATTTTAGAAGAGTTTGCTTACATGCTTTGGGGCACCAAGACTTCAAGCTCACAGTAAAATCATCAAAGACCCAGGAGAGTTTCCATTGCATAATCTGATAGTTTAACTTTTTATGTGAAAGGAATTGGTTGTTTCCTTACTCAGCACTGATCATTGTGATGGCACAGTCCCACAAGTTTTAATGGAATTGTAGAGGTGCAAATGCTATTGAATCCTCTCCTTAGTTTCAAGTTGTTTCCAAATTACCGTATTTTTTGCTCTATAGGACGCACCGGACCATAGGACACACCTTGTTTTAGAGGGGGAGAACAAGAAAAAAAAATTCTCCCCCTCTCTGCTCAGCACCCCTTCAGCAAAGTGGTAGGAGAAACGGAGCCCCTTCCATTTCTCCTCCCGCTTGGCTGAAGGGGCACTGCGCAGCTCTCACTCTCTGCTGAAGCCAGGAGAGTCTTGCTCTCCCGGCTTCAGCAAAAGGAACCCGAAGCCTGTGGAGTGCAGCGGGAACTCACGCTGCGCTCCGAAGGCTTCAGGCGGCTATCCCTGAAGGCTGGAAGCAACGCGAAGCCAAGGAGCGCGGAGGGAGTGCTCCCTCTGCGCTTCAGAGGCTTCGCATTGCTATCGCTGAAGCCAAGGAGCCTGCATTCACTCCATAGGACGCACACACATTTACCCTTAATTTTTGGAGGGGGAAAAGTTCGTCCTATAGAGCGAAAAATACGGTACAGTGGTGCCTCGCAAGACGAAATTAATTCGTTCCGCGAGTTTTGTCGTCTTGCGATTTTTTTCGTCTTGCGAAGCACGGTGTCAGGAAAGTTTTGGAAAAGCTTCAAAAATCACCAAAGTCTTTAAAAACCTCAAAAAAGGCTACCACACCGCGTTCTATGAGTTGCTCCTCAAAGTCAAGTCGCAACTGTATTAACGGTGTTAAGAAAAGGAAACAAACTTGCAAGACGTTTCCGTCTTGCGAAGCAAGCCCATAGGGAAAATCGTCTTGCGAAGCAGCTCAAAAAACAAAAAACCCTTTCGTCTAGCGAGTTTTTTTGTCTTGCAAGGCATTCGTCTTGCGAGGTACCACTGTATTGTTTTTTCAGCATTCATCTTGATTTGTTTACACAAAGTTTGTGGGGAGGTTATAAAATGTTGGTCTCTCACTGAGTATTCATTCTAGTTTGTCTGTGGGAAAGTGGTATGGCATCACATGAAACAATGATCATTTCACATTTTCTACTGCATTTCCCTATCGCTTTCTTTGCCACAAAAATTATATTTTCGGGGGGGGGGGGGCATGGATTTGTTTCACAAGAGCACCAAATCCACTTTAATCACATGACTTGAATTTTTAAACCTGTCACAAAATGGTCACAGTCTGGAAGTGTCCTCCTGAGTCTTGCTAAAGTGCAAGTGAAAAACACCAATTCACTGATTAGCTCTAGCAAAACTGAAAAGGGTCCATTATTCCCAGAGAGGTGTGTAGCTGTACGAAATGTTGTTTCTTAATTTCCAGGAATGGTTATGCTAAAATCCTGATAAATAAAATCAAAGTAGAAGAAGAGTTGTGTCTTTAGAAAATAGATACTGTAATATATGTTAATAGGGCACTGCTACAGTAATGTAGTTTAATGCATGCCATCAGCAAAATAAATCTCATCTCTAGGCTATAATCTTGAACATGGTAAGACATATAACGGCACTCTGGATTGCAGCTTTGTTATTCTCATTATATTTTATATCTTCAAATCTTAATTGTTTATGAAATGACAACAGGTTTTATATATTTTTTCCTCTTGTCATTTTTCCATTTCAGCATGAAAGCATAAAAAAGAAGAAGCTTGTATAGTACACATGGGGCTGATGGTGTTTGCCTTGCTGGAAGGGAGGAAGATGTTACCAGGTAGCAACAGCCATTCCAAAGGATGTAGGAGATCCAATTATGCCTATATCCCATTTTTCCTGCACTAGTTGAACCACAGGCATGGGGGCACATACCTGGCAGCTATATATATTCTTCAAATCTCTCTCTCTCTCTCTCTCTCTTTCTGTCTCCTTGCTGTATAGCAATGAAGTTCCCTCAGGCTTTGCAGTGTCAGCTCCTGGGCCCTCAACTTCTTATTGCAGCTGACTAAGGGACACTGAAAGTAACCATGTAGGACTGGCAGGAAGAGAAAGAGAAGAGTGATCATTTGTACAGCATATGCATAGCTGTCAAGTGTCCCTTATTTGAAGGGACAGTCCCTTATTCCAGCGCCATGTCCCGCTGCTGTCCCTTATTGATGGATGCCCCTTAAATGTCCCTTAAATGATGTCCCTTAAATTTCAAAGGAAGCAGCTCCTCTCCCTCTCTCCCTGCCGGCCAGGGAGGAGGGAGGCTCCAACTGTGTTGCTTGGCTGTGTTGCTCACCCAATAAGAAGTCTAAGAACGACTGGGGGGTGGAGCTTGCATGCCTTGTGTGTGGCTAGTTAATGCAAGCTGAGGAGGTTTTTGAATGCTGGACGCCATTTTGTTGCACGTGCTGCTGCAAACTTTGCAGCGGAAAGCCAGGCTGGGGAGCCATCTTAAGTTGAGGCTGCATAGGTCTTGCGGTGCATGTGATTCAGATTCTATTCAGTTGAACCTCTGGTTACAAAGTTGGTTGGACAGTGTTCTCGAAGCTACCCAGCATGAGTTTGACCAGACTGCAGGAGGACAGGAAGACTGGAGTGCCTGGAACTGGTGAGGCTGCAGGTCCCTTATTTTGGCTGCTGGTCCCTTATTTTCAAATCTGTAAGTTGACAGCTATGAGCATATGCCATTTATTGAAGCAGCTACAGTTGAGGTCTCCCCTGAGCACCACTTGTAGTATCAGCTGAAGGGTCTCTCTCCCTTTTCAGGGTCTGGATTGCAAGTGAACGGTGCAAGAATATTTGAGTGCTCTCTCAGCAGAGGAGAATCAGTCAAATACCAATGCCTTCAGTCTGTTTACTGCCTTGCCAGCACCTACTTAAGCAGTCCTGATAATGCTGTTCTTTTTCTTCTCTGGGAGTCAAGGATGGGGCATTCTTTAAATTACAGCACCTTGTGGATGAGCCCGAAGATCATGATACCATGATGAAAGAAATCCTCATGATATATTAGGAGATGAAAAATATCTTTCAATTCCCTTTTCACACAAGTAATCAGGTATTTCCCAAGGAGCCTTGCAGTAGCTCAAAAGCCTTGATAGATGCTGTCAGCTTTAATTAGCTGCATTCTGATCCTTTACCCAAAGAGGTCAGTGACAAAATTGCCATTCATTGATGTTTACGTTGGCAGTGAGACTCCTGCAGTGATACCTACAAAATATGTCTTTAAGTTCATGGCTGTGAATGATGCTCCTGTCTCCCCCTGCCCATCCTTCAAGAATAAAATTATATAGGAAACCTGTACAATTAATATTAGTGTTAAAGTGTTATTTTAAAGAAAGGCTTCATGTATGATTGCACATTTTTTTCATTGCTTGCAATAAATTTGCTTGATAAAGCCATTCCTTACAGATTCTTGATTGCTGGTTTAACAGAACAGTTACTTTCTTTTACTTTGTGTTATTACTGAATCATTGTTTCTGTGCTTTCATTCTGAAGCTGTATACCAGGGTGGGGAACTTATAGCCCTCCACATTACTGGACTAGAATTCCCACCATCCCCTATGAATGGCCTTGTGCCAGGGATGATGATGATGATGATGATAATAATATTTATACCCCACCGATCAGGCTGGGTTTCTCCAGCCACTTTGGGCGGCTTCCAACAAAATATTAAAATACAATAGTCCTTCAAATATTAAAAGCTGCCTTTAGATGCCTTCTAAAAGTCTGGTAGTTGTTTTTTCCTTTGACATCTGGTGGGAGAGTGTTCCACAGGGCGGGTGCCACTACTGAGAAGGCCCTCTGCCTGGTTCCCTGTAACTTCGCTTCTTGTAGTGAGGGAACTGCCAGAAGGCCCCTGGCACTTGACCTCAGTGTCCGGGCAGAATGATGGGGGTCTAGATGCTCCTTCAGGGATGGAACCTGGGACCTTCTGCATGTAAAAATGTTCTCTCACTGAGCTATGGCCTTCCCCTTCATATGGACCAGCTGTCAGAGAAATGAATTGTTATTAAGGATATGAGGACATAAGAAGAGCCTGCTGGATTAGGTCAGTGGCCAGTCGAACGGGGATTCGAACCGCCAACCTTCTGATCGGCAAGTCCTAGGCTCTGTGGTTTAACCCACAGTGCCACCTGCGTCCCATGTTTATATGTATATGCTGATACATTTAAAATGTTGAGAAGTGTACCACAACATGTGGCAAAATACATGTGGTGGATTGTTAAATTCTGATCCGCACACCAGTCTGAGAAGATCAGCTCATTGTACATAGGAATCACAACTCTTGAATTTCTCAAACATGCATATCTTTGGACACATCAGGTACTCACTCAAAGCCTGAGGGGTCATGCATTTGCAGAAGTTTTGAGTACACCTCTCCATCCAGATACAGACACTGGCTCTCAGAGATGGTTCTAAAATTCTTCTTGTCCCGGTTTTGAAGTTCTGAGTACCCTAGTTTTATTCCTGAAGTGGAGTTGATACATTAGGAATACTACCCCAAACCATATAAAAGATCTAAGCCAGAACTATATTAATAGTCTAGCCTTCTCCAACTAGGAGTGTACATAAGACCTTCGAGTCTCACATCCCTTCTGAGAATTGTATCCTTTAGGGCCAGTGTGCTAAATTCAAGGGTGATGAATCCATTTCAAAGACCATTCCCTGGCCATCACAGAAGCGGATTTTACTAGCTGTCTATTCCAGATATTTGATCATGCCTCATTATCTGAAACTACTTGTTCTATGTCTTTCCCCATACTCCCTTTAATGGAGTTTGTTGTTTTATCATTCAATAAAGATTAAATCTTTGAAACTAATCCTTTTGTACTGTGTTTGTATTCTAAAAGTAAGTACTCAAAACTAGTTAAGTCTCTGTGTACAGATCCCTTTACTGATGTTTTAGTAACGAAATGATGTGCTTGGTGAAGATTGAGCTAATTGATGTGTAGTCCTTGTAACTTATTGACTAATTTCTCTATAGATAGGCTTTAGACATGTTTTTGAGGGAGAACTCAGCTGGTAGAACTGACTTTGGATTTCACCACATCACCTCAGAACTGCATCTATACAGTTCTCTCACAGCACATTGGAATGATCTAGCACCCATTTGGGGAACAACTGGCATAGTTATAAGAGATCTGCAGGAGTTTCTTGTGTTTGGGGATCTGATCATGTTCTGCAATATTAGAAAAGCATTCATTTCACTGTCTTGAACTAGTCTCCTGGTGTTCATCTGAAGTTGTTTACCCTACAATTTCCACCCTTTGTTTCTAGCTGTGCCCTCTGGACAAACACAGAACAAGTCTGCTTAAAAATGGAAAACAGGGAAATGAGAATGCTTGTGAGCTCCTTGCAGCTTGTAGCATCCTGAGGGACAGCATGGCTGGCTGGCTGGCAGAAACCCTGAACAGTAGCACTTGTGCAAGGATGGGAGGAGATAGAACCTCCAACAAAATGTTGCAGACTATTTGTAGAAATAGAGGGTTGCATCCATTGCTGCATGAGCTTTGTTCCACTTACACAGCAGAACTCCCCTTGGAAGGGCTGCTCTGGTTGCACAACAGAACCTCCCCATCATCTCCTCTTCCAGCACCCACACCAACCCCCCCACAATGTTCCAGAGAGTCCCCCAGCCTTCTGAACCAGATTTTGAGGGTGCATGGGTGTGTGGGAATTAGACCCTCATTCCCATTTGCAGAGTACAGTTGTACCTTGGACCCTGAAAGCCTTGCGAGTTGAACATTTTTGGCTCCTGAATGCCACAAACCCAGAAGTGAGTGTTCTGGTTTGCAAACGTTCTTTGGAACCCAAACGTCTGACACGGCTTCTGTGGCATCCAATTGGCTGCAGGAGCTTCCTGCAGCCAATCAGAAGTTGCACCTTGGTTTCCAAACATTTTGGAAGTTGAATGGACTTCCGGAATGGATTCCGTTCGACTTCTGAGGTACGACTGTATGTGGAATCAGCCTTTAATTAGCCCCCCCCCCAAAAAAAACCACCTATGCAAGACACTCTCTGTTAAAGTTTAATTAACATATAACTTTTACTTAGTGTATTTGTACTTGCAGATTAAAATATACAATGCAGGTGGATGTTTCTTAAGTTGCTAAAACATTTTACATAGATTTGTATCGAAGGCTGACTAACATTTACAGACTGACTGACACTGAGGCAGCAGCACAACACAACATACTTGCTGCTCTGTTAAAACTGTCCTACTAACTGCCATAACTGTACCAACTGAAATAACTGCCACAGAGTGTATGACATTCTAGAGTTCTACAGCTCTTCAATTAACCCTTTAATACGCATTTTGGATGCTAACATCCCTCATAGGGTGGCTACAGGAAAGAGAAGAGGAGGAGGTTCTGTGGGAAAAGCAAAAATCTGTTGCATGAGTGAAACTGCAGCATTGCATACGATCCAGAATGTAGACCTATAGTGTGAGATAAGGCCACAAATTCCATAATTTTGAAGGAACTCCTCCCTTCCCTGCCCCCAAACCTTCTATGTTTGAAGTAAGAGATCCACCTGCAAATAATATGCAGAAAAAATTGCAATTGGTATGACCATTGTAGGTTTCCTGGCTAGCATTATAAATTGTGCATTCAGATGGGAGGGAGGAAGACAATATGGCATTTTGACGGTGGCCTGTTGTAATGTTACATATTATTTACTTGTGAGATAAACAACATATTTTTTTTACCGAATAATAACGAGTTATAAGTGGCATTCCCAACTCTAAACTGATGGCAACAACAACAATACAGAAGCTTAAGGTACTAGAAGTACAATCCTGCTTATAAAATCAAAATGACAAGTTTGGGAAACTGCAATGGGAATACTAAGCTACTGGAACACTGTGCTGCCCCCCCCCCAATGGTGGATGTTCAGTTTCTGTGCATAGTGTTCAGTTTGTGCAAAGTTATCTCTTGCCAAAGTTCTCCTTTGTGTGCCTATAGTTCTAAAGACATAAGGATGAAACTTCAGGTTGCACATCTTGATATATTTTATTTGAAGGGGCAGCTAAAGACATGTGGTTGCCTGAGGCAAAGGGCAAGAGGATGCCCTCCCCTTATTCCACATACAGAAGCAAACTAGATTGACAGTTGAATTATGCTTTGATGCTGCCAAGAGGATGATGCCATGCACTGCACCTATGGACAGCGGGCTTTTTTAGGAGGTGCACTGGATGGTAGGCTGCTTGGCACCCACAGCTCTGTTCTCCAACACCTCTCCATCATTTCTTATCCCCACCACAGCATCTGCATTCTGAGGCAACTGCCTCCCTGCCTAATGGTAGGGCTGACTCTGTTTATTTGTGTTATCTTGGTAGGGCTTTTACCTATGACTGGCTGTGGGACTGGAGGGCTTAAGAAGTGGAAAATCTATGTTCTAGGGCCGTCCACTGACTTTATTGGGAATGTTTTATGCTATGTTTTCTGTTACCACAAGATAACACCAACTCAAAGGGGAGAAAATGAGTCCTGGGAGATCATAGGCCTTTGTGGCATACCCCACTTCACACCCTTTTGCTAACAGTGTACCATTTGTAGTGATCAAATTACCATCAATTTGATCACTATTATAACTTTACAAATGTTTATAGAGCATTCTGCTTATATAACTTTTCTATTTTGAATCTGTAAGTGGGGTTCATTAAATGTCTCCTTGTACACCCATGTTTGTGTTTAAAATGAAATTGGTTTGGGAACCTGATCTAGATTAGAAACATTGAGTAGATGGAGGGGTGTTTAATTCCCCTGCACTGTGGTCCTGACTAAGATTCTCCACCGACACCAAAAGTGGCTGGGGCAAATAGTCGCTCTGAAGGGGTATTTTCATCATGACAATGGGACCAGGAGAATCAATCCAGATTGTAGCTCCACCCCCTAGCTGCTTTTCATTCAAAAACCACATACACACAAATGAAAAGCCATATTTAAGATACTCTTTAGCTTGGCTCACAGAGGATGGAACAGATATCTAAGGATTAGGTTGCTGAGATTTGTCCATTAAAATCATATTTGCAAGGTTCACTTGGAACGTAATAAAGATTTTAGGAAATTTACAGAATTTTTATTCCAGTTTAGTAGGCAGTGACTATCATGAAAGTACTCACACAATTTCTTTCCCCTAGAATATTGAAATGTTAAGCTATTAGGGGAAATGAGCATAGGAGTTACGCACCCACACTAACTCATAATTGCATGGTACAATAATTTTCATTGACCATAAATAGAAAATGTAATTTTGGAAGTAGGAAGCTATTTTTACTAAGATAGCTATTTACATTTCAAGTATTTGAATATACGTGGGTGGGTTGTTTCCTGCATTAACACTCTTCTCTGTGCCAATTGAAAAATGTCAACCCAGAACTATTTCAGATTTTGCTAACTGCATTTCCTGGCAGCCTTCATGCCATGTTAAATTCTGCTTTAGAGAGTCGCCTGAACTTCAAGAACAGCTGTGTGTGTGTGTGTTTTTATGTGTGTGAGCATCTGAAGAGTTGCAGTGGAAAGGCAGGGCAGTGGCATCCCATCCAATATGATTAGCCAATCAGTTTTAGTTGGGAAATATCACTTAAGTCTGCATAATAGCACTAATGCTTATGGGATAAGCACTGTAAATGCAACCTTTGAAAGGAACTGCTGGATAATTCTTTTTCTCTCTTTGTTATATTGATGACAGGATCAGGACATGAGGATACTGGTAGCACTCAGGCAAGTATCTCCAGCCGGTAGAAGTGCTGTTATGCATGACACCAGTCCATCCAGCTACCAGTACACCCAACAGTTTATTTTGGTATTTGATGGCTAACTTTATCCCATCATGTATTCTAATATACATATAAGCAGTGATAAGTCATATAATTTTGATGCTGTCATATAAAGATTTTCCTAGAAACCCTAGTGTAATGACTTTGGGTGTTTGACTCCACCATTCACCTAGAGCCCTATGGCATGCCATTCTGGCATAGATTCTCTTTCTGAAAACCCACCTGATCTTGGCTGCTATGTGAATTGGTGAGGGTAGGAAAGGCCACTGAGAGTTGCATGCATTAAGTCTGTATGTTTAAAAGGTAAAGGTAAAGGTACCCCTGCCCGTATGGGCCAGTCGTGACCGACTCTAGGGTTGCGTGCTCATCTCGCTCAAGAGGCCGTGAGCCGGCGCCGTCCGAAGACACTTCCGGGTCATGTGGCCAGCGTGATGAAGCTGCAACTGGCGAGCCAGCACCAGTGCCGCACATGGAAACGCCTTCCCGCTATAAAGCGGTACCTATTTATCTACTTGCACTCAGGGGTGCTTTTGAACTGCTAGGTGGGCAGGAGCTGGGACCGAACGAGCTCACCCCGCTGTGGGGATTCGAACCGCCGACCTTACGATTAGCAAGTCATAGGCACTGAGGTTTACCCACAGCGCCACCCACGTCCCTCTGTATGTTTAAAGTGGCTTAAAGCACTGTAGCCCTAGCACAATGAATCCACTCAAAAAACAACAGACTTTTTTGTGATTTGTTAAGTGACAGGGGAATGGATTGAAAAATGTGATATTAATGAATGATTAATGCAGAGATGTGTAAACAGCCTGCAAACAAATCAGGTTGGATGCAGGATGAATATTCATTGTCATATAGCCACCCCATAAAAAACTAAAAATGAATGCTAAGTAAAGGCTGGGCATGATCTAACCATCGTGTCAGCTCTGTGCCAGCCAATCAGGAGCAATGCTTGATGAGCAGGTTGTCTGGAAAAACCCTGATTGTTAGTGCCATTCCCATGACTGTTGCCCATTCCTCCCAGGGATGTAGTAAGGGGTCCATGCACTCTTGAGGCCCCTTAAGGATATTTCTCTCTGTATAAGGAGGCAAGGAGAGTCCAGCTCCACTGTTTCACTTCTAATCCTGGAAGAAAAACCAGCACTTCTTAATGTATCACATACATTTAGAGATATTCCTTCCTTCCTTCCCTCACGTCTCACTCTAGTCAGGCTCTGTCAGACACCAAACAATTCTGTGAGGCCAAATGATAGAGGACCACTAATCCAGATTTCAGCATTTGGGCCAGCACAAGTGTTTGTATCAGTAGATATGAAACTACTGAGCTGGAAGCATTTTTGTGATGCTGTCAAAGAAGTCTATTGGCTAAAAGCCACTGTGGTTATTTTTACAGCTCCTCTCAAGGTCTGTGACTGACAGGAGAAGAATCATCTTGTCTCAGACAAAAATGGTACTTTTGAGGCTGTTTCTATAGAGCTAGCTTGAATGCGGTGCTGTACCATAGTGACACAATTTGTGTCCAAAGTATTTATTTAAAAAGAAGAAGATGAAGAAGAGGTAAGCTGAAGCAATTAAACATAGAAAGGGAAAAATGAATGTTAGCTCAATTTACCATTAAGAATTTTAGAACCAGTAAGGGAGCTTACTGGCAAACAGGGGCTGGCTTGCCTCTCAGTGTTAATTTTTGGAGGTTCACGCCCAGCCTCAGTAATTGCTGGGAGCTGCGGCCAGTCTCATTTATAAATAGGGGGTGGAGCTGACAATAGCCAGGCAGTTGGCTCTGGAGATTCACCCTCCCTACCCTCCCTTTGTTTAATGTTTCTTGTTTGCAGGTTAACTTTTTCTTCCTGTTTAACGGGCACTGCTACAGTCTTTGACTGGTTGCTATCGAAGGACCGGGAAGAAATTTTCCTGCATTGGCAGGTTTTGTCTTCCCCGTAGCATTTCATCACAACTTTGGTGGTTATGGCCTTGGGTGGAATCCTTTAGTCTTTCCTTCCCTATATATGGGGGGCGTGGCGTGAAGTGGTGACTCACCCCCCTGCGGCAGTGATTCCAGGGTCCCCCTCTTAAAGGGGTTATATATATATATGGGTGTCACTGGCCATACACTGAAAGGTTGTCAGTGAACTACCCTGCGTGCGGGGATATAGGCTTGGCTGCCTGCTACACTTGCATCTCGTAGATCACCCCCATATCCCATTTACCCTGGTGAGCCCAAGTTCCCCCCGACTGGGGGGCTGGGCCAAGCCAAGTTCTTCCTACATTTGGAAGTTTAATAAAGTTGTGGCATAATTTTAATTCCATATAACATTTTCAGAGTCTTTATTCCTTCCTTATGATCCCTGGGGGCTGGGGCTGTCGCCGCCTGGTCATGCAATAATTATTATTTATACCCTGTCCATCTGGGTGAGTTTCCCCAGCCACTCTGTTCATCACAATTTAGAGATGGAAGATACAGTACTTCTTTCACCTGGCATCCAGAAGCCACAAGGAAATGATTTCATTTTATTTGTACCACACTTTTTAGCTAAGATCCACCCCCAAAGCAGTTTACAATAAAATTCCAGTACCTGAGCTAGTTACTGCTACTGCAACTTAATCAGCCTGGATTTCAAAGTCTCAGCAGGGATTAAAGTGCAGGGCTATAGCTCAGTTGGTAGACTGTGGTGCTGATAATGCCAAGGTCGCAGGTTCAATCCCCATAAGGGACAGCTGCATATTTCTGCCTCAATTTCCAGTTCAGTGTTCCAGTTTTAATTCAGCTGCAAGGACTCCTGTAGATGCAACTTTGCCTCATTGTCACATGTTCTGTACCCCTGTTTCTCATGGTTCTCCTTCCAAGTAGAACCCCTGCTTGATTTAGTACCTGAATTATTGCAAGTTCAAGGGAGTTTTTAGAGAGAAGCTGTCAGCTAAAAGAAATTGTCTTTCAATGAGATTTCAATGTGCTCAATTAGAGAAAAGTACTTTTTTTGCACAACTGTTGCCAAGAAATCGTGGATGTAACGGACAGAAGTTTTCCTGCCTAATCTTCTGAAGCTGATGAAAGGTAGGAGCAAAGGCCAAACTAGAGGGGGTGCCACTCACACAATTAGCAATTGCATAAATAGCCTTTAAAGTAGACTGTAGACATTGGAAAGCAATTGGGACTGGGACCCTCATGTCTGAGTTAGGGGACACTTTGAGTTAGTGTGGTGTAGTGGGTAAGAGCGGTAGACTCGTTATCTGGTGAACCGGGTTCGCATCTCCGCTCCTCCACATGCAGCTGCTGGGTGACCTTGGGCTAGTCACACTTCTCTGAAGTCTCTCAGCCTCACTCACCTCACAGAGTGTTTGTTGTGGGGGAGGAAGGGAAAGGAGATTGTTAGCCGCTTTGAGACTCCTTAGGGTAGTGATAAAGCAGGATATCAAATCCAAACTCTTCTTCTTCTTCTTTGTTCCCTGCTGTAGCCACAGTCAGTGGTCAGCTCCTGAGTTTTGTATTGGGAGGAAAAATCCCATTTGCTTCAATGGGAGCTTCTTTGTATTGTAAGGAGTGGAAGCCTTGATGTGGATTAGAACTGTAGCACCAAGCAAAGTATTAAAGCCCCCTCACCAAATGCCAGAGTCCTGATCCCACCCCCCATGGTAAAAAAGAAGGAAAAAACTATTCACGTAATTGTGAATTGTGGTGTTATGTGTAGTTTGGCCCTAAGCCTTGATGCTGCTCTGTCAATGTCTGATGAAAGAATGATTAGGAATATTGATGTTTTCCCTCCAAATCTTCATTTGAGGGGAAACAGAAGCTTTATATATATATATATATATATATATATATATATATATATACATATATATACACACACACTTTTTTTTTTTTTAAAAAAGATGCATATTCTAAATAGAGGGTCTCCCCCAATCAATTTGTAATAGTTTGTGTCATTCAAGTGATCCACTTTCCTTTTAGGCCATAGCCCTATTATCTCAAGCCCATCATCGTGTGTTAGATCTATCGCAGTAATCCACATTTGTTCTCGGAAGAATCTCTAATCAGAATCCCTATTCTTCTCTCTTTCTAAAAATCATTTTTATCTGGCAGCAGGGGGAACAGGAAGTGGCACATTCCCATTTTGCCTCAGGTAGTGAAATGGGATGGGCCATCCAGGCTGTGAGAGTGATGGAAACGAACAGTACATATAAGTTTGCCTATGCACAGTGTATGCACATTTGTGACATGTGGGCCCACAGGGCTGCATCTTTTACGTAATTACTTAGCTACATCCTTGCCTCTGATGATGATCTTTCCATATGAGCAGGTTCTGGTGGAGGTAGGTCAGGCATAGGCAAACTCGGCCCTCCAGATGTTTTGGGACTACAACTCCCATCATCCCTAGCTAACAGGACCAGTGGTCAGGGATGATGGGAGTTGTAGTCCCAAAACATCTGGAGGGCCGAGTTTGTCCATGCCTGAGGTAGGTGATCCTTGCTTTGGATTGTGCTGTTTTAAAACGTACATTTTTTTAAAAAAAATGAATAAACACTGTACTATGTCTAGCTTGCCTTTTTATAGTTACTACTTGATAGATAGGAGAACGTAAACACATAGGCCAATTGGATTTAGAAGCTTTGTGTTCAGTTAGGTTCTGTCCTTCCTTTCAGTTCTTTATTGGGTGTTATTTAAGACAGGGATTTTGAATGTGGGGGACATAGTCTCATTTTAAAATACAATTCTGCTTTATTGTAAAATACCCTAATCAGGTTTATACCTAACATCTTGTTAGTCACTGCCGGCTCTATAAAACAAGGCACCATGTCCCCTTAGCTGCCGTGTCTACATTTACAATTCATGAAGCATCCAGCATGACACTTCAGATTTATATACCTATAAACATTTAGGTTTCAGAGTAAATGAAGGACTGTATATTAACATCTCTACTCGTTTCTTATTCCAGTATTTCAGACTAACTGGAAGCATGTTGGGAAGCAGATACAAGAGACCAGAAACTCGCATTGCACAAATCAGAAAGAAATCAACCTGGTCATAAAGCTAAGTGGCTCTCACCTAGATCTGAAAAATGAACTTCAAGATATAAAGGCTGGAAACAGGAGAAGTGTAATGTCATTAGAAGGGAGTGAACGGGATAGGCCAGCTTTTATTTTTGAGCTCCAAAATATAAACAATGTTGAGTATCATTGTCTAAACAAAAGTGTTTTCAGCAGGTGCCAAAAAGAGTGCAGTGATAACACCTGCCTGATTTCAATAGGCAGGGAGTTCCAAAGTTTAGGTGCTGCCACATTAAAAAACTGAGTTGGCATAAAGCTAAACTGATGGTCAGAAGTAGCGGCATCAGCACAATTGGCAGTAAGCATCATGTGCATCTCAAGGAGGCAAGAAGCGATGATAACAGTAAAAAACCAGCCTACCCTAATGCAGATCACCCCCTTGTGGGACTTCATCTCTTTTTTCCTTTGCCCTCCCGGCAAGGCATTGCCAGTCGTCCTTGCCCTTTCCTTTCCTTTCCTTTGCCGTCTCCCTCTGTTGTTTCTGCGGCTGTCAATATTTAGATTGCAAACTCCATGGGGCAGGGAGCTGTCTTTTTTGTAATGCTTGTGTTGTTGTACAATGGTGACATTGTATAAATAATTAATGCCGCCAATAACTCTCTCCAAATAGTGTCTGCGTGCATATGGTTAAAACAAGGAGCATTGGGTAACCTTCAGGAAGAAGATATACGGGTGGCTTATGTTGCAATACAACAGTTGACCCAGCACAGCTGCAGCTTGTTTTCTGACTGTAATAAACTGAACACCGAGCTAGATTTGCTTTTAATCCCTGCAAAATGTAAAATGGATCGGCCTGTTTCTAATGCTAATCAGGTCTTTGTGCCCCGCTTGTGGGTTTCCCTAAAGCATCTGCTTGCCCGGTGTTGCAAATAGGTTGCGGACTCTTGGTCTGATCCAGTAAGTTTCTTTTTATGTTCTTATACAGAGCCATGCTTTATACAGTACACATTTTTTAAAGAAAAATATACAATATGAAATCATTATCATAATCATTTTAGAACCAAGCTGTTAGATTAAACTCTTTGAAATTGGTGCTCGCTGTCCTGGATTATTGTCTCTCTAATGCATTGCGGTAGCAAGTTTTAAAACAATATGAATCCGAGAGCAACAAAGCTTTCTGTATGAGGTCTGCAAATATTTACAATTCAATGAAAATGCAGATTGCTGTGTGACTTTGTAACACATGCAGAAATGTCGCTTAAATATATTCAGATGTGAACACTAACGATATAGTTTGCATTTTGGTAGGGGGTTTAAAGGTGTTCATTTACAGCAAAAACCTTTGTTTGCTAAAGTTAACCCAACACCATTTTGTTGCTTATTTTAGCTTGAAAGTCAGTGGGAACACAATGGGAGGGCACTGCTCTAACATCAAGGGAAGCTGTTCAGTGGTACAGCTTCTGCCTTGTGTGCAGAAGGTTCCAGGTTTAATCTGTGGCATCTTCAGGTAGGGATGGGAGAGATCCCTGGCTGAAATTTTGGAATGTCTCTGCCTGTCATGGTACACAACATTCTAGTACAGTGTTTCCCAAATGTGGGTCTCCAGCTGTTTTTGGACTACAATTCCCATCATCCCTGACCACGGGTCCTGCTAGCTAAGGGATGATGGGAGTTGTAGTCTAAAAACAGCTGGAGACCCAAGTTTGGGAAACACTGGTCTAGTACATGCACCGCTACACCTACAGTAGAGCTGTGTGCCTTCAGCATATTGCTGACAATGTACTCCAAAACTCCAGATAACCCAACTCAGTGGTTTTGTGTAGACGTTAAACAGCATAATTCTAATTAGCTACACAACCCAATCATTATACCGCTTTCTTCTTATGCAAGACACTTTGTAACAATAACAACAAACATTTTCCTTACAAGGTTTCTGCATTGTGGTTAAAGACAAGACTTTTCTCCGTGGCCCTTAAATAAAACTGCATCTGTAGCCTCTGACTGCTTGACTTAATGCAACGTTACCATTGCATTGGCAAGTCTACATGGCCACTCAGATTCTCCAGGATTTGTAATAGTGATAACATGGGGTTAACAACCTAAGAGACTGTGGAGAGCTGCCTTTTCATGCAGTACAGATTGACATCTGAAAAGCTTTTAAGGACATATCACTATCATGGTCTCCAGCCATCTGAATCTAATCTCAATTTTAATCTGTTGACAATTACACAGTGGTTCAAGGCCAGTAAAGCTTCTATCCACCAATTATTCTCGGTGATGTACCAGAATGCACTGCCCATAAAAGTCTGATTCCAAGGCATCTAAAAGAATGACTTCTTCAGTATGAACTTTCCCACATAGCTTTGTCAGCATACAGCTTGGTCAGGCACTCCTCTTCTTGAGTGTCTCAGTTATCTCAAGTTAGGTGTGTAGCTGCAAGGGCCATATCTTTCTCATTATGGAACTCCCAGTTTAGGGAGCCAATTAGGCTAGTTCTTTCAGGGTATTTCAGAGGGTGGCCAAGATCATTTAACTTCACAAAGCCTTTGAGAGAGAAGCTAAATGGGTATTATTTATGCTGATATTGGAAGTTTGTTGTGGGTTTTTAGCACTCTGGTGGCATTTCATGTGCTTTTAGATGTTTTGGAGTTTTTATATGTGGTAATTTATAATAGATGGAAAGCACCTGGTCATTATTTTGTGCATTTGATTTGGAATGAGTGGAAGTTGAACTGAATGGCCTCATTTTGCTCACTTTTTCATGTGTTCTGACACAAATGCACATCCTATGGAAATACATAACCTGATGGTGATGGTGACAACAACAAAACATTATTTTCATTTCACATGCCATTTTTGCGGGTGGGGGGGTAGCCACATTCTGAGGAACATCTGGGGAACATCACCCAGAGAATTTGTCATAAGAGAAAAGAGTGATTGTGAATAGTTTGAAAATTTGTTTGTTTTCTGTGAGGGGGATAAATAATTATGACTTACGTAGATGACTGAGGAATGTGTTCTTGGGCACTGCAGAATAAGGGCAGTAATTACCGCACTGTTGAGAGGAAGAAAGTAGTATTCTGAAAATTGTTTCCAAATTAATACACATTTCCTCCAGGTTTTTTTTTTTTTAAAGAAAGCGAAAATTAGCACTCTGGCTGTAGATGAGACAGATGCTCAGCCTCTAGCTACTGTACCTCCCGTGGCTCTCGTGATACCAGTCTGATTTAATATGAGCGCAGCAGTGCTTTCTCTCCTTGAGACAGTCTGACAAATGTTCTTTGTGTGAAGGGGCATTTGGTTGCTCTAGTAAACAAAGCCTTGCTCCTTTCCTCCAGATGTCTGTAGAAATAATGACATCTCACAGTTCCCGTGCAACCCACCATATCTCATTCCCTCTAGAGAGATGGTGATGCACAGATGCCATCAGATAGCTCTTGTTACCAGTGCAAAGATGTTTGTAGCCATCAGGCTAAATGTTCCCTCGCTACACAAAATCCACAGGTGATAGAAGTAGCTGCCCAAACCCCTCACAGCCCTCTTTCACGTCACTGGTGGCAAGGAACAGCAACAAATTCTTCCATCAGATTGCTGGTTCGACGCAACATGATGGGTAAAAGTGTGAGCCACGGGCTAGAATGCCATTCCTGGTTCAGATCTCACCTCAGCCACAAACTTGCCTGGTGCTATAGGAAGCCACTGTTCACACTGCCCCAGCCTTCATTCCTCATCAGCGGTAGGGACTTTCAATACTCAAAAATAGCTGTGGCTACTGACAAAACACAATCCAGAAGGTGACCCGTGGAGATGGATCTTCAAACTGTCTGAATATGCATTCATAATTCATCAGAAACCTGGAAAGCAGAATGGAGTCACAGATGCTCTCAGCAGTGAAAATAAGAGCAGTGAAAGCAGATATAGTCTGGTCCTGGGAAGGCAATATAGGGAACAATTTAAGGACCCTGAGCTGTATAAAGTGAATCAACGGATGTATTGACAGAGACATATACAGGGGAGACTTGACCCAGTTATGGGGAAGAAAGAATACATCCATTGATTCTGTTGGAAACATACTTGCTTGTGGGAGCTGAAAGGATTTTTATGCTTGAATCCTTAGATAAAAGTACTTGAATGCATGATAATGATGCAGCTGGACACTTGGGGCTATGGACAGATATTTGACTGGGCATCAGACAGGTTTTTTTGGCTTGGCATGGCAAAGGTTGTTAAACAACAGGCACATTCATGTCTCATGTGCCAAGAAAGGGAAGTGCCAGCAAGATGAGAAAAATCACATTAGGGTAGGTGCCACAGCCTATGGAAACATGAGGATTTATTCAAATAGATTTGAAAGGTCCACTTCTGGAAAGAGCAGCTTGAAACCAGCATTTTCTTGCAGGATGTTTGGAGGTTTTAGCTGGGGAGTTCAGCTATAATATATCCTTGACCATCACATCCCCTTCTATTAGGGAAGATTGTTTTCTTCCACTGAGCATGCAGCTTTGGCAGGCATGTACATGAAGCGGTGAGAGAGGACACTCAGCTAGCCATCCAGATCAGCTAAATGAACCCTCGTGATCAATGGGGTGACAGATGTTGCAGCCAGATTGCCCTCATATGCAACTTGGAGGGTGTCTTTTTGCACTGTCGGCTGAAGGAATTCATGGGGAAATGCTTTCAGAGACAGTTTCAAATTGTCATGGTGATGCCATGGTTTGCTGACAATATTATTATTTTACTGCTTACGCACACACGCACACACACACACACACACACACACACACTCATTATTTGAATTTACCGTGTTTTCATTATTGTTATTTGCAATGTGTGTGCGCGTACACCTTTGGGCACCCTTCCCTTTGTTTACCTGGAAGTAGGGAAAGGGTGGTGGTGGCGGCAGAAGCAATGGGAAGCAAGGAGGGGAAAGTGACTGAAACACCAGAGAGGTGAATGCTACTAGCCCAAAAATAGAAAGAAGAAGAATTACCAACAAAGGAAGAATGGCAGACGAAATTGATGGAATATGCTGAAATGGTGAAACTGACAAGGAAGATCAGAAACCAAGAGGATCAAGTACAGTGGTACCTCAGGTTAAGGACTTAATTTGTTCCGGAGGTCCATTCTTAACCTGAAACTGTTCTTAACCTGAAGCACCACTTTAGCTAATGGGGCATCCTGCTGCCGCCGCGCTGCTGGAGCACGATTTCTGTTCTCATCCTGAAGCAAAGTTCTTAACCTGAAGCACTATTTCTGGGTTAGCGGAGTCTGTAACCTGAAGCGTATGTAACCTGAGGTACCACTGTATAAGAGAAACACCAGAGAGATGGTTCTTGGGACTTGGAGTCTACCCTGGGTCTAACCACAAAGAAGCATAGGAAGCTGCCTTATACTAAGTCAGACCACTTTTCCATGTAGCTCACTATCGCTTACACTGGCTAGTATTGGCTTCCCAGGGTTTCAGGCAGGGGGCACTCCCAGCACAAGCTGAAGATTGCAAGGATGGAACCTGGACATCCTGCAATGCCCTACCACTAAGCTATGGTCCTTATGGCAGTAGCTCCCAAGTCACCATCCTTGTCCCTCATAAATTACTGCTCTACACTCATCCATAAATCAGAAGCTCTCCTGCCTCCTCCACTTGGAACAGGAGCAGAACAAGGGGGGGAAAGCAGGGAATAGGGGAGTGAGGGGAAGTTTGACTGACTGAGGCGTTCTTCAGTTTATATTAGTTAGTTTGTTCATCTGTTCAGTTGTGAAGACTAGCTGGTAGCATAGCAGAAAAACATGACATGAGCCTTCTTTTTATATTGAGTGTTCTCTGGCATTGAGACAATTTGGATGAATGGCCTTCATGCGGACTTCCCAACCAACAAATATCACCCCATGAGGGAAAAAGCTACTCCCACAATGTTCAGCCCAGGACAACTTTGTCCCTAAGCCACCTCATTGAAGGTAAACAGGTAAGGAAAAGCACTGATCAGTTATCAGACTGATATGGACATTGGAACCAGAGTTGACATGCCCCAGAAAAATATAGGTTGCTCACTCAATTTCCCCCTTAAAGCAGGCGTGGGGAACCCTGGCCCTCCAGATGTTGCTCAACTTCAATTCCCATCATCACTAGCCATTGTTCATGCTTGCTGGGGATGATGGGAGATGTGGTTCAGCAACACCTGGATGGCCAAAGGTTCCTCACACCTGCATTAAAAATTGGGAAACCTGCAGTATCTGGGTCAAGTTAATTTTTTGGGGGGAAATAAATGCCTATTGCAGATTGTTGTAAGTTATAATAAACTTGTGGCCAGTGGTCAAATCCATTTGCTGTTTTGTTCCTTCACTCCATGGGCATAAGGGCAAAGTGTGTGCATAAATACATCCTTAATTAGCAAATAACATTTGCCACACTCTGCAGAAAGTTCCTTGATAATTAAGTTTAAATGTACAAACATGCTTCATATAGTAGAGACTGCATAATAGGGGGCAGGTTGGGAGTTGCTAGGAAGGTAATTGTAGGAGAAGAGCCACCTGCTTCTCCTTGTCTCTTTCGCTTCTGACAACCTCCCACATACTCACTTTTCCTTCCCACTTTCTTAAATTGAGAGAAAACAGAAAAGAAGGCAAGAGGCAATTAAAGGCAGGATGCCATCCCCCATTGCCAGCTGTTGTTTGAAAGGTGAGGTGAGGGGAACCTATGGGGAAATCTTCTAAATAATCAGAATAATATATTACTTATTTATCTATTTATATAAATTACCAGAAAAATTACCGCTCACTGGAAAAGATTGCAAAATGAGACAGATCTCGCCTGCAGACTTACAATCTAATAGATACAACGTGCAGGAAAAAAGAATTGGGGATGGAAAGAGAAATAAGCAAACTTAGGCAAGCAAACTTATTTCCTCTTATAATGGCCAGCTTGAATGGAAATGGTTCAGGGAGAAGAACAGCCAAATGGCAGCTGGTCTCTCTGCAAGACAACAGAGTGAGCCCTGCACTATCCCATCTCTTCTGCTGCAACCAGGTGGAGTCACTGCTAATAAATAGCAGCTCCAGGGAGAAGGAACCAAATGACAGCTCTTCCAGGAAAAACAAATGGACCACCTGGGCAAGTAGAATATCTCTTTACTCAAAGCTTAAGACACAAGAAGTATAGCTAGGGAACAATTGGTAGTGCAATAGATATGCAGTTTGGACATCCAGTATTGTTGAGTGTGAGCATGTGCAGTCTATGAGTTTGCTTTGTCTCACATCCCATTTCTAAAACTAAGTTCAGAATTGTAGTATGCACAGTTTGCCACAGTGTTTAGTTCCTTCAGGTAATATGCATATTTCCTTCTTCCTTCTATATTAATGTTGTATAACACATCAATGCACTAAAGAAGAAGAAGAAGAAGAATATGTGATTCTAATTATCACATTTTTAAAATTGTGTAGTGTTTCATGGATGTGCACTCCAGTGAATTATTAAAACACCACACCAAAAGAATCTTTAGATATATCCACTGTATCTGCTGAAATAGGGGAGGAGGCCCCATCAGCATTGGCATTCTGTGAGCTCTTGAATGTTTAAACAAGCATTTCCGAAATCTAAACCTGGATCTCCAACTTTGATTGTTGTTTTAACTGTTATGCTGTATTAATGAGCTTGCTTAATATATATATTAGTCACAGATGTTTTACTGTAGTTTAGGGTTGCCATATTTCAAAAAGTGAAAATTCGGAGCTTTTTGCTGAGCTTTTTTTAAAAGGAAAATCAGCCAAAACGACACTGCCAACATGGATTGCCATACACAATGCGTTCATGTATGGCAAACCTACTATAGTTGTTTTACTATGTATTTTAATTACAGAACAATTGTGTATTCCAAATGCTTGAATAGGTACTTGAGACCCTCCAGATGTTGTTGGACTATGTCCCATCATCCCTGACCACTGGCCATTCTAGCTGAGACTGATGGGAGTTAGAGTAAAAACAAACAAACATGTGGAGGACCCCTGCCCCATTGTATCTGTTTGACTTTGGAAAGAGGATCAGGTAAGCCAGAAGTTTGAAATCTTGTGAACATACTGGATGAGGAGACTTTTGGAAGGCTCATGTAATCGAGGGGTGGAAGACTTGGTATTTCATTCTGTAACATCTTGGTTTGTTTTTCATGAGAATTGCTTTGGCACAGATCTTTTCCCCCCCTGTGTAGCTGGCCAGTGTGAAAGTTCCTGATTTTCCTAATTTGCAAACAAGCTGACTAATTGAGTCGTGTGCTTGCACCATCAGTAATATTAAACAAATAGTGACAATAATGTTTTTATACTACATAGAGGAGCGTGATGCTTACATTGGGTAAATAGAATTATCACCTACTAAGATACACAAAAGTATTATTATTCTTATTTATTAAATTTCCATACTACCCTTAATCCGAGGATCACAGGGTGGTTCACAATTTAAAAACTCAAAAATACATACTAACTAAACAATAACAACAACCCCTAACCAAGAAGAGAAGAAAATGGAGGTATATTCCTTTAGCACACAACCTAAAAGTAAAAAATGCAAAGCAGGCAGTATTAAACTGTTGAGTCTATTAGTGCTTTCGAAGGCCAGTCTTTCCTTAAAATACAGTGGTACCCCGCAAGACGAACGCCTCGCAAGACGGAAAACCCGCTAGACGAAAGGGTTTTCCGTTTTGGAGGCGCTCGCAAGACGAATTTCCTATGGGCTTGCTTCGCAAGACGACAGCCCATAGGAAATCTCAGGGACAGCGGGGAAGCGCAGCGCGCCTTCCCCACTGTCCTCCGGACCTCCTCCGAAGCCTGGCGGCGGGGCGGGGACACCTCCTCCCGCCGCCGCCGGGCTCGGAAGGCTCCTCCGAGCCGGGCGGGGGAGGGAACACCTGCCGCCGCCGCCCGGCTTCGGGAACGGTGCCCGGCCGGGCGGGGAGGGAAGACCTCCCGCCGCCGCCCGGCTTCGGAACGGTGCTCCGAAGCCGGGCGGGGGGGAGGAAAGACCTCCCGCCTCTGCCCGGCTTCGGAACGGTGCTCCGGGCCGGGCGGGGGGAGGGAAGACCTCCACCTCCTGCCCGGCTTCGGAACGGTGCTCCGAAGCCGGGCGGTGGGGAGGGAAGACCTCCCCCCGCCGCCCGGCTTCGGAACGGTGCTCCGAAGCCGGGCGGGGGGGAGGGACCACCTGCCGCCGCCGCCCGGCGTCGGAACGGTCCTCCGGCCGGGCGGGGGGAGGGAACACCTGCCGCCGCCGCCCGGCTCGGAACGGTGCTCCGAGCCGGGCGGGGGAGGAAGACCTCCGCCTCTGCCCGGCTTCGGAACGGTGCTCCGGCCGGGCGGTGGGGAGGGAAGACCTTCTGAAGGCGGGCGGGGGCGAAAGTCTTTGCTCCCCTGCCTGCCTGTCCCGGAGGGCTTTGAAGGCGGGGAGCAAGACTTCGCCCCCGCCTGCCTCAGAAGAGGTCCAGGACCTCTTCTGAAGGCTGGCGGGGGGCAAAGTCTTTGTCCCCCTGCCTGCCTTCCCAGGGGCTTTTAATTGCCCCGGACAGCGGAGAAGTCCTCCGCTGTCCCGGGTGATTTTAAATGCCGCCCGCCAGCATTTTAAGATCGCCGGACAGCGGA